CCGCCAAACGAACCCCCAGATGGTCCTGCGCAAGATTTGCAACCATCCGTTCCTGGTCGCTGAGCCGGTAACGAAGGCGGGCACGCCCATTGGAGAAGCCAACCCAAAGATCTTGATCGAGGCCTGCGGGAAGCTGAAGCTCTTGGACAGGATGATGTGTCGGCTGCATGCGCAGGTGGGGATGGAGGGACGGATGGAGGGGAGGGAGGGAAGAGAGGCCCGGAGAGAAGTGATGTGCAAGTTCGTTCGACGTGGAGGTGGAAGGACGCTTTGAGGAGAGAGGGAAGGTATAGGGCGGGGGGGGGGTAGAAAGAAAAGGTGCTGTGCGGCGTCGTGCCGTGGAACTGACCAATGTGCGCCTTCCCGCCTCCTCTCTTCCTCCTTCCCTCCCTTCCTGCGCCTCGCAGGGCCACCGCGTCCTCCTCTTTTCCCAGATGACGGAGATGCTCACGGTGCTGGAGGACTACCTCCACTACCGTCAATGGAAGTATTGTCGGATCGACGGCTCTGTCAAGGTAGACGCGCGTCAGGAGCAAATTGAAGCCTTTAATAAAGACCCGTCGATTTTCTGCTTTCTTTTGTCCACTCGCGCGGGCGGTCTGGGCATCAACTTGGCGGGGGCCGATACGGTGGGTATTCCTCCCTTCATCCCTCCCTCCCTCCTTCCCTCCCTTTCACCCATGGTCCTTCAGTTTGGGGCCGGTGGCTCCTCTTCCCCGAAAGGCTTGAAGCGTCGGTTTTTCTCACCGAAGCTCCCCCAACCCGCGCCTCTTCCCCTCCTTGTCCCCTCCCCATGCTCCCCCAGGTGATCATCTACGACTCGGACTGGAACCCGCATCGGTAGGGTTGGGGGCGGAAAGGGCGCGAAAGAGACAGAGAGACGTCTTTAGGGACTGATATTCCTGTCTGCGTTCGGATCGGGTCCGAAAGATGGAGAGAGTAAAGGCGCGGAGGCGTGCTCCGGTGGAGAAGGGCACATCCTCATTTCTTGTCTTCCCGGTTCCCCTCCCTTTCTTCCCTCCCTCCCTCCCTCCCTCTCTCCCTCCC